TCTCATGAGAAGAGAAGACTCCCTGGAAAAGACCCTGATGTTGGGAAAGAGTGAAGGCAAGAGGAGAAGGGGACGACAGAGGATGAGATAGCTGGACAGGGTCATCGAAGCGACCAACATGAATTTGACCCAACTCTGGGAGGCAGTGGAAGACAGGGGGGCCTGGCATGCTCTGGTCCATGGGGTCACGATGTGTCGGACACGACTTGATGACTAAACAACAAGAAGCAAGTTCCCAGAACTCTCAACACATTATGAGTTCAAGATGATAACGTCAGGCCAATGAGCGATCTTTCACCAAGATGACATTTGGTAACCAAGACAGAATGCAAATTAGGTTCATTTTAGAAAAAAAAAGGGACTCGGCCGCCTTGACTGATAAAAAAAACTTTGTTGCTTGACAGGGTCACATGTGGTTCTCTCTGAACCCCTGTGCTCGGAACGAGGACCCTCACACCCTCCTTAATAAAGATGTGGGTATTAATAATCGTAAACGAATACAACTATCCCCATGGCAGCTGCACCTCATGCGGGGCTGGCCCCCAGAACCCATCCACTCGTGCCTCCTGGTGCCACTAGTGCCAGCCGGGGATGTAGCGTCGCTTTCGCCCAGCTCGGCTGGCCACTCCACAGCCATCTGGGGAGACTCGTCCCCCCGCCCCCCTGCCCATATTGATTTACAAATACGAATATCCACCTCTCTAATCCTTAACGAATCTTCTAAAGCGTAAATCGGTCCCGTTGATACGTGACCTTTTCCCCATCGAGAGGAAGACTTTTCTGGGGTCCCTAAACTGGGATGTGTCTGTATTAATAGATTTATTAGGTCCCTAAAATTCCATAAACAGGAAAGCTTTCAAAACTTTTAGGAAGTTTCATCAGGCTGGGAAGAGAAGCATCAAATGAGATATATATAATTTTTCTCTCGTGGGTTGTAGACTTGTTAGTGATACACAGAGAAAGATATGGAAGCCCTCCATTAAAGAAGAAAATCTATTTCTTGAGAACTGGGAGGGATAGGATAGGCTGATGCAGCTGTCTCCAGTGAGCTGTTTTGATTTTTCTCCTTCCCAGAGGCACCCAGAAACATGGCAACCCCCACAAGAGAAAACCTGGAAATCACATTTAGTGGTACGATGGACAGATGGATGGATGGACGGACGGATGGATGGTGGTTCCATGTCTCTGTAGACGGTGGCATGCCAGTAACTCCATAAATCCTTTGTGGGTCTTTATTGCAGCATAAAATTCTCATCTAACTGAGAACAGAGGCTCCCAGAAACATGGTAACCCCTAAAACAGAAAATCTGCAGATTTGTAGATGGATGGATGGTAATTCTAGGTCACACCTTTGTTTCCGCTATGGGATGTTTTCAAAGTGCCTGTGTTGTTCAAGATGTTCCTTATCTCCACCCACCAAGTTTTCCTGCCCTAGCAGGATTTGAATGCAGGTCTCTTAATCCTGGTTGGAGAGCCAATCCACTAAACCATCCTGACTAGAAACAGAGAAGGGGAAGATATGGAGGCAGTGACAGACTTGACTTTCCTGGGCTCCATGATCACTGCAGATGGTGACAGCAGCCACAAAATTAAAAGCTGCCTGTTTCTTGGGAGGAAAGCGATGACAAACCTCAACAGCATCTTTAAAAGCAAAGATCTCACCTTGCCGACAAAGTGAGAGCTGGACCATGAAGAAGGCCGACCGCCGAAGAATGGGTGCTTTTGAACTGTGGTGCTGGAGGAGGCTCTTGAGAGTCCTCTGGACTGCAAGGGGAACAAACCTATCCGTTCTAAAGGAAATCAACCCTGAGTGCTCACTGGAAGG